TGGATAGATGATGGTTGCTATCTAGGATGCGCGCAGGCGAGAGAGAAAAGGCAAGCAGGATGGCGCTAGGCCTAACTAGGCAGACACCTCCAACAGTATTAAATTCATGACTAGTATCTAATATAGTAAGTTGCTTCTACTTATACTTCCAAGTTCCTGCTATCTCATATTGCATCTCCATTGCTAAAGATTAAACTCTATAGACAGGCATGACCATCACATAGGGGAAAATGAAGCAGAAAAAGCAAGTCACCGCCCAATGGTTGTAGCACTAGAGAAGGGCTAGAAAAAAAAAAAAGAAAAGAAAAGTGAGCAATAGAAAACTTTTTTCAGTGGATCTCATGCGTCATAGCAAGTGTAAAGGTTCATGACGTCCGTTTTCATCAACAGCATTAGACTTTTGAGCTTATCAATGGTAGATAGGTAGATAAGGAGGTTGGGAAGAGGAAAAAAAAAATAAGGGACGAGAAGAGACCAGGCCGTTCGCCAATAATGCAAGAAGGGGAGGGGTAAAAAAGAAGAAGAAGAAGAAGAAGAAGAAGAAGAAGAAGAAGAAGAAGAGAATACCAGTAGAAGACATGAGCGTCGTCAAGAGGGAATCAAGATGAAAAATAAAAAAAAGGGGGTTGGAGAAATGTGTGTTGAGAGGTCACCTCTGTTTATAACATCCAGTCCAGTCCATTGGCTTCCTCCTCGACGGGGAACACCTCGCGCGCATACTCTTCCATGTCGCGCCAACCCTGCCACAGGTGACGGGCCTCGTCGGTGACACGTTGCGAGATGACCCCGCCGGGTCCTTGCATCATGCCAGCGCCGGCTCCCTTGCCATTGGCTGGGCCTATCCCCTTGGGCGAGCCTGCCGCCGGTCGGGAGAATTCAGGTTGGGGGAAATACGGCGCGTTGCATTCGCCGAAGAGGATTTCGAGGGCCTCCAGTTGTTCGCGGTATCCCGACGGAATATTCACTTTGATCTCGATCATGGGCACGTAGATGTAGCGGCAGCGTCGGTTCAGCGCCCGCGAGAACGCTGCGCATACCTGCTTGGGCGAGAGGGTTTCAAACGTCAAGGCGATCCTAACCAGAAAACAAAAGGCCATCAGAAAAAGATTCCCTACTTTATAAAAAAAAAAAAAAAAAAAAAAAAAAAA